TAACATGTTGGTGAACTATCAAGACTTTAATAAATCACATTTAATCAGTATACGTTTCTTTAATTGGGAAGGTTTGGCTTTAAAAAATTCTTTCTTTAGAAAGGGGGTTACTTATTAGAAAGGGAGGGTTTATTCGAGAGGGGATGCTTAATAGAGGATTTACGGCAAGTGCATATATACTTTATTGGGCCTTTTCTTTCTCATATATTAAGTCAGTCTAACCATGAAACATGAGTAAAAAAGGAAATTTTACCAGTTAGAGAATTTTCTATGATTGTAACCACTTTCAAATATGCTTGCAAGATGACAACAAGTACAGTTCTTGTACAGTGAAATAATAATTATTCACGACTCTACCCCAACGCGGTGATTGTAGGTTAGAAGATAATATAGGTAAGTTGTAGTGCTTGGGAACGAGGTTATTCCAGGCGAATGCCCTTGGAATTAAATTCGGAAAAATTAATTTCCGACCTCGCTGGGATTCGAACCCACGACCTTCGGAATTGTACTACCGATGCTCTACCAGCTGAGCTAGAGGTCAGACTGAGAACAGGCCGGGGTGAAATAGATGTTAGGTCGCGGTAAAAGAGGATTTTACTCCGACGAAAGACTAGCGTCCAAAACGTCAGTAAGTTTTTTCATCTTTTCACAGTGTATAATTTACCTTTTCATCATTACTGTTTCATTAGAAACACCGACGCAGCTCACACTAGTTTTTAGCTAGTTATATCTTTTTATCGAAATAAATTTTGTTGAGAATGACGACATGTTGTCAAAACCGTCCAATGCTTTTGTCTCTAATGAAATAATATTTATAAATATTCATTGGCTTTTCTACAGAGTAGCTATTCATCCGTCATAATGTAATTGGTATTCGGTAGTTGATTTTTTAGGGACGTGGCCAGAGAACCTAGTAAAAAAAACCTTGAAGTTCAGTAGAGAACCAACCAAGCAACCCTGAGATTTCTCCAAAACTCCATCTCCTTCAGCTATTTGGATTTCTATTGGTTTAAGCAAAATACATTGCTATTGTTCCAGTTATCAATCAACTGATTCCATCTAATGAACTTTATTACCAGCCTTCAATGAAGGGCTATCTGATTGCTCTTGGTTTTCCACCATCAGCATATATTTCTATAGAACTAATACTTGCCATTCAGCTTAAGTAAAGACACCACACTAGACCTAGCTTAATAAAGTTTCGAAATTTAGAAATCATAGAAGCAATTGCCCTATTTCACTATGACGTCACATCAAAACAATCTGTTGTTTAAACGCAAAGGATCATGGTCTTTGGAAGGGGTCAAATCAACGCAAATTCACCGAAAACTGTTGTAAAACCCGTATCAATCCACAAAGTTTAAACTGTTTCGCTAGGAGCAAGTTTTGTTGAATTTTCTATTGGATTTGGGGATTCTATCCCCCACATAAACAAGCAGTGACGTCATAGTGAAATATAGGGCAATTGATAACATTACTTTTTATTTCCTTGCTTAGTGATGGCCTCAGCAAGCTGGTGCAAAGAAACAGATGAAAAGATCAACTACACCAAGCTTTGTAGGTTGCTAGTCGATGGAGGCACACAAGCACTTTGTTCTGTATTTGATGGGAAATATCCACCATCTTCATTGAAAGACTTCTTAAATGCTAACAAGACAACACTACAAAAGCTGAAGAAACCACTACAAAAGCTGAAGAAACCAAAAGGGAAAGTACTGAATAAACCAAAAGGGAAAGTACTGAATAACGAACAATGGGACAAACTGTATCCACCAAATGGGAGCGACCCTCAATCTAAAGACTTTGATATCACTTTACTGTTTGTTCTTCTAAGAAATATTTGTGGACTTACAGCACCAGCAACTGGATGGGATGCCTTACCACCTGCAACAGACGACTCACTAGAGGCTAACCTTGCCAGGATAAAGTACTACAGAAACAATACAATAGCACACATACCAAATACTGAAATAAATGATGCTGACTTTGAAAAACACTGGCAAGATATTTCAACTGCCCTTCTGTCACTGGGACTGAGACAAGAGGATATTGATGCATTGAAGTCTGCTCGTTTGGGAGAGAAAGACTACAACCAGTTACTCTACGATTGGTATATATCAGATAAGGATGTCATAACGCGGCTAGAGGTTGTAACTGATAAACTAGAAGAGGTCTGTAATGTGTGCATCGAAGCACGTCAAATGAATCAACAGATCCAACAGCTGGCTACTTCTGAATTTGGACCAGAAATAAATGAAAAATGTAAGCGTTACCATCCAAACACCCGTCAGTGGATTCTAGATCAAGTCAAATCCCATGTTGACAGTGACCACCCAGACTCGTGTATAATGCTGATCACCGCTGGTCCAGGTATGGGCAAATCAACTCTTGCTGCTAAGATCTGTCAGACATACAAGGAACTTGGATGTCTTGCAGGATGTCACTTCTTTCAGTTCAGTAATGCCACAAGAAACAATCCAAGGTTGATGTTGCAGTCCATTGCAGGGAAGATGTGTGACACTGTTCCTGGTTATCGAGAGGCCCTAGAAAGCAAATTGCAAACAGATTTGGGTAAGGAGATATCCGAGATGAACTGCGAAGAGCTGTTAACCATTTTGCTAGAGGAACCATTGTGTAACGTGGAACAAAAAGACTCTAACTTGGTTGTTGTTATAGATGCTTTAGACGAGTGTTCACACGATCCAAAAGATGAACTACTGAAGGCACTAAGAAAAAAACTCCCATGTTTCCCTTCATGGCTTCGATTTATTCTAACCAGTAGACCATCAACTAATACCTCTACACTTGGTTCAATTGTTGCTGTAGAAATAAGACCAGAAGATGAATCTAATATGGAAGACCTTAAAATATTTTTGAGCTTCGAGCTTAAAGCCCTCTATCCACAATGCGACAATGACGATAATTCAGATCTTCTACAAAACCTAGTGGAAATGACAGAAGGTTTGTTTTTAGTGGCTTCCTTTGTCATTAAATATTTGGAAACAGAAAATGTTGCATCACCAAAGAAAGTTTTGCAACTGTTTCCTAATGGAATCTCATCAGTTTATGAGAATTATTTCTCTCGTCTTAAAGAAGTATTACTACCTTACATATCAGAGAAGGAAGGGTTCTACAAGATGCTTGAAGCTGTTGTGGCAACCGAAAACCCTTTGCCAAAGAACATGTTTTACAATATTCTTCGTGTCAAGAGTGAGTATGATGTCCCTCGCGAAGAGAGAAAGAAAAGAAAAGATGCGTTAAACTCACTCCATTGGTTGTTTCCTGTTGAGGGTGATCACGTGACAGCATTTAACAAGTCAGTATTTGATTGGTTGATTCTTCAAGAAGATGAAGGACATGAATTCAGTGTTCGTGTAGAAGACGGGGAAGAAGTACTTGCCATTCAGTGTAATGATGTCCTGAGGGATATACGAGACGGAAAAAAAGATCTGGATAAGCCGTTGAATCTTACAGACAACGAGAAGTATGGTCTAAGATTTCTTTGCCACCTTGTAGATAAACGCTCATCAGTCGTCACAGAAGATATGTTTGGATTCTTTTCGAACATTTATTTCCTGACTGCATTAAAGATTGAAAACATCAGCTTTGCCAATTGTGTTAGTGACGGTGAAATCATATCTAGTTCTTTACATCAAATACTTAGAGATATGTCAAGGTGTTTTCCTAGGAACAGTTGTCCTCACCACCGTTCTTGTCGCTTTTTTCGTCCCATTTTATTTGGTCGTTACCTTGCATTCGTTTTGCAAGCTGCACATGCGAAGGGATTGAGTGTAGAAATTACGCCAATACCACGTTTTCCTTATTTTGATGAGAAGAGATTATTGCAGACTAAGATCGAACGCAGTTCACTAGAGTATCTACTTAAATGTAAGGATGGGTTTATAGCTGTTTTCGTATCTTGTTCAAATTCACTGTCTGAAACTGCAGTATATACGTTCAATGTTGATGGACGCTGTATCACGTGGAAATCCTTTCCTGGCGAAGGGCTCATAACCACCTCTCCGAACATCAACTTCATCGTTGTTGTCCAAGAAAATGGGAACAAGATTGATATATTAGACGCAACAACACTTGAAGTGATCAGTCAATACGAATTTCCCCATGATGCAATACAAACATGTCACGTGTTTGAAGACGATCAGGGTTGCTTCGTTGTCATCAAGGGTTATCATGACAAGGTTTACGTCATTGAAGGATTAACGGGACACGTACATAACACCATTACAGTGAGTGAAGATAGTACTGTAATGGACGTTAGCTGCGAAGGCCATATTGTGGTGACAAGAACATGGGGTCGCGAGGAGCCAGAAAACGTAAATACCTTTACCACTAAAGATGATGAAGTAGAGCTGATGAATTGGAGGAAGTCCGTTGACGTTTTTCGGACACAATCTAAAGCGCACGATATCTACACCTACCGAGAAATCCTCCTATATCACTATGACAGGACAAAGCAGCCCATTCGCATTTACCCACTAGCAAAAAAGATGTGCAGTTGTCAGTTTCTCTGTTATTCCATTACTAATATAGACGAAGTGGTTCATGTTTCTGAAGATGGATGCCTTCTTGCATATCATTATAAGGATTCCATATTCATAGTCAACACGTCAGATGGCTCTTTGTTTAAACGTTGGGCATTTGACGTATTGACGGTATCGTGGCTTGATATTTTGTTCGTATCAAGGTCATATCTCGTGATCTCTGATATGAGTGTCATGTTCGTGATAAATCTCCAAACAGAAGAGATTGAGCACAGAATCTATCTTCCTTATCCTGCTTTCCAAAATAGCAAACAATACCTTCTGGTGCCAGAAGAAGATGGAAAGTCCTTCAACTCGATCAGCAGTCATTTCAATAATTCTTTTTATGAAGTGTCAAGACTTGTGTTTCATAATTTAAACCTCCAAGCTTTTCAATAAAGACACACGTCTTCAATGGATCTCAGTTGAGAACAAATTTGACAAGTTTACACGTGACTACAAACGGAATCTTAAGAAAATGTCACTGACCACAAGGAGAAGCTGACAG